AAACGGACCTTCATTATGCTGTTGTAGAGTATCTTAAAAATTACCACCCAAAAGCTCTAATCTTACCAGGACTAGGAGAGTACCAGGATACCTCATACAAAAGATGTGACGCTTGGAGGAAGGGATATATGGGTGGACAACCTGATCTCACAATAGTAACTCCAAGTAACGGCTTTAACGGATTCGTAATAGAACTTAAGACCCCAAAGGGTACAGGTGAAGTCAAGGACAACCAGGTGTCATGGTTAGAGGCACTAAACAAAAATGGATACCGGACACTAATATCTAACGATTACACAAAGATAGTGTTAGATATAGAGGAGTATTTCAGGGTCGACAAAACAAAGAAACTCCTAAAGGAAATAAAGAATCTTACGATAAAGTGTAAGACTTTAGAGTCTAGTAAGTGCAAGGAAGTTGTAATTAGACAAATTGGTTACAAAGTAGGTAAGTACTAGAGTGCAAATGGGAAGTGAAGGAATGAAACTTAAGAAATGCTCGGCAAATACTGTCGGGCATTTTCTAAGCAATCCCATTATACTGCCAAGTAGATTTGAGACATCTTGCAAGTAAATTCAAGTTATTCTCACCAGTTATCTCACCAGTAGATTTAAGTTATCTTACCAGTAGATTTGAGTTATCTTGCAAGTAAATTCAAGGTATCTTACAAGTAGAATTAAAGGTATCTCATAAGATGAAACCAAGTTAAACCTAAGGTATCTTACAAGTAGAATGGAAGATAAACCTGAGCAAATTCAAGTACCAGTAACGAGTGAAAAGAAGAAGGACCCAAAAAGAGTAGCTGCAGGGAAACGACTAGCGGCAATCAGTAAAATAGCAAAGGAGAGGAAAAAGAAACTGGCTGAACCTAGGGAGTCACCTAACAATGACAGCATGATTACCTACATAGGAGTGGCCATTGCATTGATATCTCTTGTGCTAGCATATAAAACACAACAGAGGGAAACAAAGGAACCAGAATCTGAGTTCATCCCTAAAACTGTAGAAGTAACTAAGAGACCTGATGAATCTAAGTTAGATTCACTTGAATGATACATTAAACATACTATATATTATAGCAAGATGAGTAAAGAATCAAAGATGACTAGCGAAGTGTACGACGCAGTGTTACTTACAGCAGGAGCAGTTGGTATATCAATGGCATCAAAGAAACTATTGAAAGAACCATTAGGTACCCCAGAGAACGTAAAGGGAATGGCGAAGTTAGCTATTTCAGTTAGTCTTTCATCTCTACTGGTCTCTTACTTGAAAGAAAAGAAGTATCTACCAGATGATCCATTCAAAACCTAGGTAAAACTATACAATGGCGGGAGCAGTAGCAGGAGGACTCTTTAATGCATTTGCATTTGCGGGAGCAGGATACTTATTTAAAATGTTTGACAAGAATGGATATGCTGAGGAAGCTCATAGACATAACAAGGCAATGGAGAACCTAACAGCTGAAAGAGAAAAGTACCTTGAGGAGGTCACTGATAGGAGAAATAAAATTGCCCAACTGAAGTCAGAACTAGCTGAGGCAAGTAGGGATATTAAGTCAACAAACCAGTCACTAGAACTCGTCAGAAGAATCGATGAGTTAACACGTAAGCCTATACCAAGGAAGCCACAATTAAGTAATCACTACAAACCTAGCTCTGAGATGGAAGAATATATGACAATCTTTGGTTTAATTACAGGTGGGGTGGTTGGAGGGGCAGCTTATTTAATTCTATAGAAAATGCCATAAAAAATTTCACACCTATAAGTATAGGGAAATGGAATGGTTACAGATGGCAACACCTGAGGAGATAGCACATGTAGGTAAAAGGGTAAATACATTGGAAGAGTTAGAGGCTGCTGTGAGAAAGCACGCAGAGAGTAGAATAAAGAGACAACACACATATGATCCAATATGTAGCGAATGTGGGAGTAAGTCTATTGTAATGATAGATGGAGCAGATACATGCACACAGTGTGGTACCAGTGATATACTACGTTAGTTACAACTACAACAAGGACGACTACCTGAAAAAGAAGTCTTGTCACAATAGAGTCCGTTGGTTTGAGAGACACTTATTCGAACATGTTGCTTCTATGGATAGGGACACCATAAGGGAGCAGTTTAGAAGCATAGTAAGATGTATACAAAGACTTAGACTGCAAAGGGGGCGCAACATAGTTAGATACAAGTTTTACCTGCTGAGGATAGCCAGCATGAATGGTATCTCTCTGAGGAACCCTCCTGAGGACATTAAGACTCAAAGGATTGTGGACATCCTTGAGGATAGGTTGTATGGGAAAGTTTTTGTTGAGCTTGGATGGAAACCCGAGAATTGTAAATATTATAATAACTGGAAAATAAAAATAAATGTTTAATTAAAATAATAAAATTAAATGATTAATTAATATTAAATTTTAATTAATAAAAATAAATGTTTAAAATAATAAAATTAATTTTAATGAAAGAAATAAATTGGAGTATTTAATTGGTAGTAAATTATTAATTAAATACTCCAATTTATTTTTACACATATAGTATAGAGGAACAGTTGAAAAATATGGCGAATTATTTTGATATGAACGAATTCAGCGTAGAACAGCTTATGGCTCTCAACAGTATCATAGATAGTGATGGTGATACGGATACGAGGGTAGAGAACATTATGGCTAACAAAAACTACAGAATTGCACCTGATGATAAGGGCAAAAGTCCCTTTGAAGGAGAAAGACAATTCGTAGACGAAGTTGACCGTGATATGGATGTAAAGAAACCTACAATCAGTTTCAAATGTGTTGGGACAGATGCAACAAAACACTTTAATTTTAACAAATGTCGATCCCCCCCGCCCCCTATTCAATGTTGTGTGCCATTGTTCGTCAAGTTTGATGAGTATTGGTATTCGAATCGAGAAAACAACATTGATTGGGGAGGGGGGAGGGGGAGGGGTGCGGTATTGTGTGTGACAAACTGCATAGATTGATTTACGTCTTAAAACTGCATGTGTCCCAACAACTTTTGAAAGTGATTGTCTGAAAGGCATATATGACCTACTTGACTTACAGAGTATTTGACACAATCAGGATTTACTGTAACATAATTACTGAATTGCATTGGCAAATGTAATTTTTTTACTGTGCTTGTTATTGTCAATAAGTTTGAAATCTAACATAATACAATTGTACATTAGAAATTAACTTATAAACAGATGTCATATATGCAGAGGAAGGTATATCGAGAGATACTTTATTAATAGTGGTCTATGCAAGAAATAAATGCACATTTATCTGGTTAATTAGCGACCTAGATTATTTCTAAGTAGAATGCAAGAGGTGGTTCATGGAGACCACTTAAAAATTGTGCACATATGACGCAATTGTCAAACGTGTGTGGGTGTGCGCCGTGCGTCATCAATGCGCGTGTGTGTCACGCGTATAAGTGTAATTCTTTGATAGTCTTGCTGAACTTTATTCTCGCTATGGGGTTTTTGAAAAAGATATCTGACGAAACACGGGCTCTTGTTAGGTCTTTGGGTATGGAAAAAAAATATTCGATCCGCGAAATTGCGAAAAA